GGATAATCAACGGCTAGCCGTGCATTAAAGGATTTTAAATGCACTTCGCGTCGGGTGGTTCTTTGCCTCCACGTCGTGCATTTAAACTCCTTTAATGCACGGCAAGCCGTTGATTATCTCTTACTTAATTTCTTTAACGCATCCTTGCTGAATAAAATATGAATTTGACTGCAGACTTTTAAATGGTAGTGTTTTAGTATCGCTTACCATCCTTGTCTGTGTAAAGCTGTGTCCAGTCAGCTTCTGATGTAACTATTTGTAAAACACTGTTTACATGAAGCCCCACCCATAGGAGTTATCATAACAAGACATTATACACTTTGAAAAGAACTCCACCTCAACTTAATCAATAAGAGCTTATATTGTATTGAACCTGGAATACTTGTTTAATAAGAGCTGTCGTTCAGGTGCAGGGTGTTGGTACGTCTCTGAAGGTGACCATCCAGCATAGCAGTGAGAGTCGAGCCTTCAGCACTTCACCTGAAGAGACGGCAGCAGGTGCAGGCCATGAGGGCGAGAAAGAGAGAAGCAAACACACAGTTAAATTCACCTGCTACATTTGCAACGTCACCTGTACTGACCAGCAAGTAAGACTTGACTGTACATTACTGAGGAGAGGAGTCGGTTGATCATTGTGTTTAGTGAGGTGTTTGACCTCCGCAGGGCTTCCAGTCTCACATGACGAGTTTAGATCATCAGCAGCGTATGATGGAAATCCAGTGTCTGAGCAACACCTGTCTGGCCACACTGTTACCACACACCCAGCAGTCCCTGCAGGGTACAAACAGGTAGGTGATGCTCTCCGTGCATTAGAGGTGTAGTGTGTACGTTTAGCGTAGTTATAAGTATAAACAAATACGGTAATTGAACACTGTCAGAACGGTTTTGAGTCTGTGACAGTCTGAGATACCCAAGATAAGGAAGGAAACTTTTAAAAATCTACTTTAAAACACTTCTCTAATCTTTGTTTTTATGTTGCTTTCATATATTTGTGAAAAATGTTTTTACTATTTCTTTCCAAAAAATTGATACTTTATACACCTCTGAAAACATAGTTATGTATATTATATTGCATTTCTGTCAATAGATCGATGTAAATATTACACATTGCACCTTTAATGACTCTAAACATAGTATGGAAGCCTGTTTCTGCCACCGAATAACACATTTAAAAAGGTAATTGCAATTTTTTATCTCACAATTCTGACTTTTTTTCTCGCAATTGCGAGTTATAAAGTCAGAATTGTGAGATATAAACTTGCAGTTCTGAGAAAGTCAAAATTCCAACTTTTTTTTCTCAGAATTGCCAGTTTATATCTCGCAATTTTAACTTTCTCAGAATTGCAAGTTAATAGCACACAATTGCGAGTTACAGTATTAAGGCAGAATTGTGAGAAATCCCATTTCTGAGAACATATTCATTTTCCCCCTCAGAATCTGGCTTTATAACTTTTTTCAAGTCAGAATTGCGAGAAAAAAAGTCCGAATTGTGAGATACAAACTCGTATTTGCGAGAAAAAAGTCAGAATTGCAAGTTTGGATTAAAGTCAGAATTGTGAGACAAAAACTCGCAATCACTTTTTTTTTAAATTCAGTGGCGGAAACAGGCTTCCATAACAGTGTATCAAGTAAAAAGCGGCAAAATATTTTTCTTGCACTTTTATTTTCTTGTGTTTTATATGTTTTATAATAATTTATTTTTATTCTACCAGTTTATTTTTTGGTTAATCACAAGCAAATTTTGATTTCAATGCATCCTTACTGAATAAAACTTTCTTTAAAGAAAATCAACTGACCCCAAATCTACAGTAATTTGTTAGTGTACTGTATGTCACTCACATTAAAAAAGTATTCCATCATTGCCTATTGTTAAAAAAAATGACTGCACAACACTATTTAGAACACAATTGTTGTTTGCTCTGTAATAGAGAGAGACGGGTGGGTCATCAGCGCTGGTGTCCAACCTGCCAGTCTCATTTTTCTGGTGACCTCATCGAGCACAGACGAACTAAGAAACACAAGGTGACCTTAACATTAATAAAACAAATACCACCAAATCTAATCGCTATATATGTATGAGTATATGTGGAAATATCCACATATACTTGAGGAGCAGAGTTTGATTGTATGAAAATGCTATGTCTTGTCTCCTCATTAGATGGCAAAAGTATCCTCGAGACCTTTCTGTACCCTGTGTGAGCGCCACTTTAGGACTCCTCGCAAATTTGTTGAGCATATGAAGTCTCCTGAGCACAAACAGAGGGTTGAGGAGGTTTGTGTGGGTATTTTGTAGGTATTTAAATCTAAAATGTGTTCAATGAAATTGAATACAACTTATTTATTTCAACATTTGTTACAGTTAAGAAACGAGGGTGACCCAGAGGTTATGGAGGAGCTCATAACAGTGGATGCTATTGGCTGCTTTGAAGGGGAAGATGATTATGAGGAGGATAGAAATGAAGAAGAGATTGCAGTGTTTGAGAAGGTTAGTTGCATTACATCATGTGCTTTTCTAAATTAGAGTCCCTTTTGGAGTTTTTTTTATTTATTTGAATTTTGTTCATAGCATCCTGGTCATAGGGATATGGCTTTAGAAGAGACGACTGATTATGAGGCATATGATCCAGACACACAGTATGGTGAGTGCTGGACTTTAACCACTTCTCTAGAGTAGACTGTCAAAGAATAGTTTGTGAGTAAGTTCATCTGACAGACCTGACTGCTTTCTGACCCTTAGGCACTAGTTTTGTGGTCCCTGTCGCTGGTTTCCTCTGTAAGCTGTGTCATAAATTCTACCACTTTGAGTCTTCTGCTCGGGAAACTCACTGCAAGTCTCTTATGCACTTCCAGAACTTACAGGTGAGGAAAATGATGGAATTTGAAATTAATTTATGTGTCATTTAAGGCAAATCTGAAATCAGTGATACTACAATAATAGCCTTGTGTAAAAGTGGTAGATCTTTCAAATAATGTAATGGTCGGTCAGATTGTGATTAATTACACACAGTCAAAACTCAAATGTGAATTTTGAAGCTGTTGTAATTTTTTTTTAAACTACACCACTGTTAAAAAGTTTGAGGTCAGTAAGATTTTGTAATGTTTTTGAAATAATATCTCTTGTGTTCACACCTGTTTTGATTGAAATACAGTAAAAAACATAATATTGTGAAATACCTTCTACTATTTAAAATACCTGTTTTCTGTTTTAATATATTTTAATTTAAAATGTAATTTATTCCATTACTCCAGTGTTCAGTGTCACATGATCCTTCAGAAATCATTCAAATATGATGATTTAGTTCTCAAAAAAAAACATTTCTTATTATTAATGCTGAAAACGCTACCATTCAAAAGTTTGGGATAAGAGGAAAATAAGAAGAAATTAATAGTTTTATTCAGAAAAGATGCATTAAATTGATCAAAAGCAACAATAAAGACATTTAAAATGTTAAAAAAGGGTTTCTATTGTAAATAACTACTGTTCTTTCGAACTTTATGTTCAGTAAAGCATTCTTAAAAATGTATCACTGTTTCCACAAAAATAAATCTGCAAAAATTTCTGTTTTTAATTCAATAAGAACCAATAATAACTGAGCATATAATCAGCATATTAGAATTTTTAAAGGATCACTGTGACACTGAAGACTGGAGTATCGCAGGAATACATACAGAAATAAATTACATTTAAAAATATATATTCATATTAAATTCATTATTTGCAAGTTATATTTTAAATAATATTTATGAGTAATATTTCACGATATTACTGTTTTGCTGTACTTTTGTTCAAATAAATGCCTTGGTGAGCATAAAAGACTTTTTTTTTTTTTAAATAACTGACGGGTGGTAGTGAATATTTTGACATTATGTCTGAACAGCTCTGTATGATGGTCTGATCAGATGGTCCATTGAACGTAATGCAGCTAAAATACTGAGAAATATATGTGTAAATAATGTAGAAGGAATTTTTAAACAAAAAAGTGAATTCAATGCCAAATGCTCAGATTAGTATTTGATTTTCAGAAACACAATGCTCTGAAAATGCAGAAGAAGCCACCTCAGGATGACTGTGAGAGTGATGTGTCATGTAGCAGCCTGATGAGCGACCCTCGGTGCCTGGAGCGCACTGCTTCCTGTGCCAATGACAGCAGCCAAGCAGATCTCAACAGACCACACATCAATTTCTCAAGAGAGCGCTTACACTCGAGGAAGCTTAAGCCATCTAAGAGAGCTCACAAATCCAAGTCTCCACGCTCAAAACACTCTGGAGCTCCACAGAAGCCCGCCGTGGTCATGAAGCACTTAATATATACTCCACACTGTGGCTCAGGGTCAAGCCGAGAGTCACACTGCCAAGAACTACAGCACACAGAATCTGTGTCCAGTGAAAAAGAAAAGACATCCTGTGACCCTGTGCATTACTCAGAAGAGCAAGAAAATGTGAGCTCAACACCCACAAACAGTTCGTGTCATGCATCACAGTCGAACTCAAAGGAGAACACAATCAATTGAGGTTAAAGAGACAGCTGGCAAAGACCGAACAAAAATAATCTTCATGTTGATAGGAGTTCATCGAGTGTTTCTGGGAAAGTTGTGAAGAAAACGTGAGAGGAAATGATGCTACTTTCAAAAAATTTAAGAAATAAATGTTCATTTAAATACATAAATATTGTAAATCTCATTTCCTTTCATTAAATTGTATTTTATATATAATTATAAATAATTGTTGAACAACAGTTTATTCATCTAGGTTGGTGTTGTTACTTGAGCTGCAATTATTTGTTAATTCTTATTCATCATAACTATTGTTAATATACATTAACTTAAGGTATTTTTCAGCACCTCCATTTAACATCGTTTGGGAAAAGGAAGTAAAAACATTCATCTCCACAATTAATGTCCAAATCTAGAACAGATTTCTTGATTAAAATGCACACAAATCTTGTCCATTGCCCATTTTTCTTTCTTTCTTTCTTTCTTAATAAGAAAAGCTTCTAGTGTTATAGACCAGTAATAGTAATAAAAGTATTACAAATATAGGACTAAAGTTTCCATATACAATTTGGACAAGGTTGTGGACATTATTATGAATCTGGGTATAATCTCCCTCATGACCCCCATCTTGAAAATGTGACATCTATAGAGTCCCGTCCCCCCTCCCCGTCCCCCCTTAAATATTTAATTCTTTATTTATTTGCAACCTTGTACTTGGATAAAAAAGGCATTCTATGAAAATGTATGTCATTACAGACTGAGAATAGACTGTTGGTCACAGTTTGAGCTCTCTACTCTGGCTGCATCAGTACACGTGGCATGCAGATACATGTGTGTCCTACAGGCGGCGACAGAACGAACTGCAGTGCATTATGGGGCGGAGATGGCATTCTAGTACACAGACAGACGACGGCAAAGCAAGGCTAGTGCGAGACCTGTAACACTCCTGCGAGCGGACATAGATATCGATTAAAAGCACACAAACAAGCCAAGGTGTCCTGCAGACGGGAATCGGCTCTCGGATTTTGGTGATATGGCCCAAAATGATTTGATGAGCAACGCGGAGGACGTGGCGGATCAGGTAAGAGAACAGAAGGCCCTGCCAGCCAACTTACACAGTAACGTTAAATCACGGAGACCACTCTTCTGTACTAAACAGATGCTCTCTAAGTTCAGGAAAGTCCATGTCTGCGTGTATAGTTTCGTCTTGTTTGCAAATGAGGTTTGTTTGACTAAATTCTAGTCTTGTGACTAGAAGGACTGAAGTAACGTTACTACCAAGACTGCTTTGGTTGCTTTCGTGTACTAATATTTAACATTTATAACTATTAAAGATATATAAGTACATATACTTTATTTCTGTGAACCCAAAATGTTTGAATGGCATACAAACTTTATCCTCGAATCGTTTTCATCAGTCTTCAAACATCTGTTCATCTGATGAAACAAGAGTGTATGTTACTCCTAATACCCAACATAAAAGATGACTGATTAGAAAAATATGGTTTTGTTTTCCATATGCAATAGGAAATTAACAGCAGGACATTCATCTGATGCCTTTGTTTACATATCAGAATATGCATAATTTGCAGGATTATTGGATGTGTTTGGGGCCCTTTTTTCGTGCTGTTCTTGTTTTGGGCTTATTAATAGAAATAAACTTTATAAATATGTAATTATGTGGGTGTAAACTGAGTTGTGAGTGTTTTATCAAGGCTGAAACAAGGCCATCACTGTCATCAGCATCTCAGCTTATTTATTTATGGCCTAATTTTCAAAGTCATTAAGTAGATTAAACCCCAGCCAATGACAGCTATCTTCAGGTCATCTGATGCCTTTAATGTTGTTTACATATCAGAATATGCATAATTTGCAGGATTATTGGATGTTTTTGGGGCCCTTTTTTCGTGCTGTTCTTGTTTTGGGCTTATTAATAGAAAAACTTTATAAATATGTAATTATGTGGGTGTAAACTGAGTTGTGAGTGTTTTATCAAGGCTGAAACAAGGCCATCACTGTCATCAGCATCTCAGCTTATTTATTTATGGCCTAATTTTCAAAGTCATTAAGTTGATTAAATCCCAGCCAATGACCGCTATCTTCAATTATTAAGTGTAGTTTTATCACACAGCAACAGGAACAATATTAAAATTCCCATTTTTGGTTCATACAACTCTCATTCAGCAATCCTGCCTTTTATAACATGTAACAGAAGGCAAATCCTGTACTCTTCGATATTCCTGTGCTGCTTGGAAACAAGTCAAATACCCTCCAGGCACACAGACTGCGAGTAAGGTATTGACACACAGGCAGACATTGGCCCTGAGATCTCTTCCCATTCATTTGGTCTTGCTTGGTACTTGTTGAATGCTGATTGGCCCGTTTTCTTCTTAGTGCTGATGTGGATCGTCTGGGGGCGGGGCTTAGCAGAGGCCTGTGTCAAAGCTCACATAAGAGTGTTGAGTTAATCACCAGCTGGTTTAGAGAGAGTTATTATGAAACCCTGCCATGTATTGACCAAATCTATGCATTTTAGTATTCCTGCAATTTGCTTATTTTCATTCACAAATAACAGAATTCTATAATCTACCACTGGCATTTACAAGCAGATTATGAATTCTTACTTTCATTTTAACAAGCTAGCACATGTTACAGGGTTAAGCAATGAGAATATAATATCCTGTACTCTTCCTGGAAGAGTAAATTGTGTTGTCTTTATCCTTCCCTGTACATTTTTATTCAACACCTGTTGCGTTAGGAAGTGGAAAAGGTTTATTACTAGTACTCCACAGCAACCCTCTACATTGCGAGTAAATCACTTGCATATGCGACTAAATCTTCACTCTGGGCGACTAAATGATGTGTAATATTAGCCACTGGCTAATAAATTCTCAGATTTTACTCGCCAGAGTGTGAGTTGGACGCTAAGTATAAGTTTAGCTCAGATATATTTTCACTCGCCGAACACTCTGACTGAGCGCTTCAGAGTTTCACTCTCCGTCAAGCCATCTGTGATATTTTTCAGTTCATCTCAATGGATGCGCAGCGCACCTGTATTTCGCGTACCGTAAACTCTAGTGTGAAGGCGCATGACTCGCTGTCACTTTG